CAAAAAACCAATCCAAAACCTAAAATTAAAAAAAACAATACAAGCTTAAATTTATTTTTTAATTTGAAAAAAAACATACAGTCGTAACTTTTCCTAATATATAGAAATATTTAATATAAAAATTAATTATTTTAATAGTTTAAATCTTTCGTAACACTAATTTTATCTTTCTAGACCAAAATTTAGCAATGCCTTATATTTTTCTTCAAAAAAAAATACTAAAATAGAAGAAAATAAAATTTAATATCAAAATATATTTTTTAAAAAATTATAAAAACTGATTAACAAAAGGCTTGAAAAAATGACGAACACGAATGACGTTTATAAATTAATTGCAGATTTTTCACTTATTTTACTTGATTTATTCATTTTAATCCTTTGTTTTTTAACTCAACTCTCACTTTCAAAAAAAAAAACATACAATTAGTTTCTAAATTGGTTCAACAGAGTTTGATCGTGAAAAAAAAAAAAGAACCTAAGATTTTAAAAATATATATAATATTATGATCTGCAATAATATATGAGATAATAAACGGTGATTAATTGAGCGGACAGTGAAGAGGTCACGTCTAGTGTTACGCTTAAAAATCTCTTCGAGAAAAAATCTGCCATTAAGCCTGTGCCACACAAACTTGGGCCCACATCTTGTTTGGATTTGTAGAGAGCAATTTGGGTAGCAGCGATTGATGCTCCCACCACTATGTTGACTTGGGGTGCGTTTAATATTGTATTTTTAAAAAAAAAAATATTTTTTTAACTTAATATTTGTATTTAATAATTTTAGATCATTTATGGTAATATTAAAAATAATTTTAAAAAAATAAAAAATATTATTTTAATATATTTTAAAATAAAACTTTTTTAAAACATAATTATTATTTATATTTCTTAACAAACTTTTAATATTACGAGCTGATTGTTGCCTAATAAAATATGTTTTCTGACCATCTAAATGTCTCTTAATTAAATAAAAAATAGGATTTATTTTACATATCTTTTCTGGCCATCCAAATATCTCTTAATCAAATAAAAAATAGGATTTATTTTACAAGCATGTTCTTTTTTTAACTTGGTGTTTGATTCACAACGAGTCTAGAAAGTTGTTCCAAACATTGCTTGTAAAAAAAACAATTTTTTATTGGATAAAAGTTAAATTAATTTTAAAAAATAAAAAATATTATTTTAATTTATTAATAAACAAAATATATTTTAAAAAATAATTGTTACCAAACTCTTAAAATCTCTTTATTAACCTAATTTATGGCAGTTGACTGCAAAATTTGTCATTTTACTTTGGTCTCTTTATAATTTCTGTTTAAATTATGTTTTAATTAGATTGAATTATAATTTATTCTGACAAGTAAAAGTTAAAAAAAAATCCAAAAATTGGTATCACCAATGATCGAAAGTTCAAACTTTTTAAACCCTTAGTAACTTCAAGCAAACATTCAAATTAGAACTAATGCCATGGATATTTAAAAGTAAAATATATTTTTCATCCTCTACAAATTACTATTACAATCTCCATCAAGGTGTTATGTCACTAGAAACCGCACTAAAAACTTACATGGCCTTTCATTGCTTTTGTTGCTATGATTTTCACGTTCCAAAAACATCTACCGACTTGTGTTGTTTCTTTTTCCTCATTTATACAGGAGTTTAAGAACCCAGGTTGGTGATAAAAGACCATACTGGTGAGAGAGAACAACAAAATGATAATGAGCAAATTAATTGGATGCCAAATGGCAAGGAAAACATGCCTTCAATTGCTCATGTAGAGACCCTTTTGCACCTCCATCTGCAGCTTGAGCGCTTTTGTAATTTGCATCCCACTGCAAACAAGAATCCCCAAACAGCTCAAGCCCATTTTCCAAATGATTTGAAACAGATTATGAAATATAATACTTGGGAGTCTTGCCTTTGAGGCCGAGTGTCTAGGCATTTAATAAATTGTGGAGCAAAACCAAATTATTCAGTCTGAAGTGTCCAAAAGATATCTATAACAAATGATTTTCTGAATAAATTGATTGTGAATGACAAAAACAAAGAGGAGAGGAGAGAGTTCCACTTACGATGATCAATCCAAATTGCAAAGCATATCCCATGTTTCCTTCTTGTCCCCTTTTTTTTTCCTTACATCACCATTGTCATTTGAATAAAAAACAATATAATCTAGAAATGCTTCACCATAACCTTGTTTCCATCTCGATCTGTAATGGTAAAAACTAGTAAAAAAACTTCAAAATAATCAACCTTTTATACTCCAAAAGGAACAGCTAAATTGGAAATTTAAAAAAGAAAAAAGAAAAAGTGTGATCACCATTCATGAACCAGCCACCTTCAGAAGCTCTGGTCATATAGTAAGGAAGGGTTAAGAGGAGAACAGAAGAGGGGAGAACGAGGGCAGGGGTGGGGAGATGCGGCTGACGGTTGGTGGTGTCTGTGAATGTAGTTATTTAAAAATAAATTAAAATAATATTTTTTATTTAAAAAAATATTTTTGATATTAGTATATTAAAATGATATGAAAATATAAAATATTATTTATTTAAAATAAAAATAAATTTTCAAAATATAAAAATAACAATCCAAAACTAAAAAAAAAATAAGTTGAAGTTACTTGTGATTTGTGAATCACATAGAAGAACAGGAGAGAGAGGGCAAGAAGAGGGGGGACCAAAGGGAAAAAATGATTTAGTACTAGCATAAGTTGTTTATTTATGTTATTTTTTTCTTATTTAAATTAGGTGAAGCTATATTAATTTTAATTTGATTTAATCATTTTAATTTTTTAAAATCAAAATTAAATTAGATTAAATATTTTTTTATTTTTAAATCGATTTGGTTCAATTGATTTTAAATATTGCATGCCACTTGAATTAAATGATAAAAGTTTTGTATAAGAATTAATAATTTTTTGTTAAATTATTCTTTTATTTCGCTTGCATTTTGATCTTACATGTATTTTTTAATTACAAAAATAAAATTTGAGTTGCGTTAAAGCATTATTATAAACTTTATACTGGTGTCGTCTAAAGTGTAATTTTTTATGTTTGTGTTGGGAATTCTAAAACATTTTATTTATTTACCAATGACTAGCTAAAAACATTAATAAGAAAGTGGAGAATCTTGTTCCGTTTCATGGACATGGAACTGTAGTTACTAGCTTCATATTTTATTTCATATAGTCATTCCTTTTCTTTTGCCCCTGGATTACTTTTGCTCTATCGTTGTGCAGATTGTGGACAATAGCTATACAGACCTGCCAAGTAATTCAAATATATATGAAAAAGGAATTTATCCAGTTTTAATGAGTGCATTTTTTTTAGCATCATCAAATAATCAGGTATTTTACATACCCGATCCTGTAAATATTTGTAATATCCACAAGAAATCTCATCTAACCTGTTATATACAACCTGCTCGGATCCAAAAATAATTGTATGAATTGGGTTGATAATTTATAAAATTTTAGAAGTTGGGTCGGTTTCGGTTCATAAAATATTTAAAAGTTAATTTTCTTCTATCAGTGTCAAACTTGGATGTTAAAAAAATAAAAATTATATATTTTTTATTTTAGTTTATATTATATAAAATTAATTATATTATAATAATTATAATTATAAAGCTGAATTGATCTAGATTGACTTGAAAATAAAATTGGTTAGGAATTAAAATAAATAAATAAATAATTGATTTAACCTAATCTAATCAAAAACCCAGATCAACTTGCGATTAGGTGAACTCGTGATAAAAATTAGTCAAAAACCCATTAATTTTTAATTTATATTTTTATCAAAATAAAACTACTTTGATTTATTTATTTTTTTGAAAAATTGATCAATCTAGGTTGACTCTTCTAATTTATTACTCAGGCCCTATCTATAGTTGACTCCCACATCAGGTTTTAAAACCATAATTATAATTATTTTTATTCATACATTAACTCAAGTCAACATGAATTAACCCTTTTAACCCATCACTCGAGCTTTGCTCCTAGTCGACTCCACAGTCATTTTCTAAAACTACAATAATAATAATAATTTCTATCTATATATTGACCCAGGTCGATTATCTCGATGTGTGATTTAGGTTAATTCCAAAATAAAATTTTAAAATTATAATAATAATTAATTTTATTTTTATATTTTTTTAGTCAACGATCAACCCAACCCCTAGTTACGACCTTACCCAAATTGATTATAAGTTGGAATTTGAATTATAACAATAATAATTTTTATGTTTAAGTTAAGTCAAATCGGTCCAAGTTAACTCTACCATCCTGTAACTAAGGAATTGTCCCATATAGACACTTGAATTGTATTTTAAAATTACAATAATAATTATTTTTATTTTTAGATATTCTAAAATTTAAAATTTATTATCAAAAATATTTTAAAAGTAAAAAATATTGCATTCACTCACACACCTAACTATTAACTACAAATTATTCCTCTATATTGTATATTTTTATAATATCTTACTGTAACTATTAAATTTAAAATAAATTGATATGATTTTATTTGTCATAAAAATCATAATAATATAACTTTGTTTTTTAATCCAATCCATCTAAATTCAAAATTAATAATGAAATTTGAAATACCATTTTGCTGTGTTTTCATTGAAATATAATTTGATAAAAATCTAGTTTAACTGTTTAGAGAATAACAGTGTTTGAATTTGTATTAGAAAATGTTTATATATATATATATACAGTGTTTGAATTTGTATTAGAAAATGTATATATATATATATTATTTATTTTTTAAAATTTATTTTTAACACAAGCATATAAAATGATATTAAAATATATAAAAAAACAATTAAAACCGCAAAAATAAATACAGCTATTTTTGCATGCAGTGAAAGTCAGGACAAAGTGATATTTCTTTAAAATATCTCGAGCCCCAGTCTGACGTGGAAGCGTGCAATTGGTTGTCACCTGATAAGAAATCTGTGTTCAAATGATGTTTCGTGTTCCAATTATATAGCAAGCTCCTCAAGGTCACCTTCCCTCTACGATATCAATTTTATCTCCACTGTGCCGGACCACAGCAGCAAACTTAACACAAAACTAGAATGGCAACAATAGCTGGTCTTAACCTCTCGACCCCTAGAGTCTTAGCTAAGGCAACAGACACCCCAAAAGCTCAACCCCTCATCAAGTTAAACCAACAACGGAGGAGGAGCTACCAACTGTGGTCCGGGCGCGTGCAACTCCGACCCGTGAGAGCAGCCCCTGAGGGAATATCAGAGAAGGTGGAAAAGAGCATAAAAGAAGCAGAGGAGGCGTGCTCCGGTGATACAGCTAGTGGAGAATGCGCAGCTGCATGGGATGAAGTGGAGGAGTTGAGTGCGGCTGCTAGCCATGCCAAGGACAAGAAGAAAGGGTCCGATCCTTTGGAAGAGTACTGCAAGGACAACCCAGAGACAGATGAATGCCGCACTTACGAGGATTGAAATGGTTTTTACTTGGTGCATCTTTTCTTAGATATTTATTAAATTTGGATCCTTAATACTGGTTTATGTAACAATGGAGATGGTGGATATCATAAATTTGGTGGTTAATTATTAGTGTTAATTACTGGCCATTTCGTCTTTATTTTTCCAAAAAAAAGGGTCTAAAAAAGCCAATATATTTTTTACTCGTGTAGCTGAAGCCTGAATGCAATGAACTACACCGTTAGCTCTTGTAACCTACGTCCTGGAAAAGTTTACGAGTACAATACAATTATCTATTTTTTTCTATTACTGGGCCATCCCTCAGAATACATCTCCTCAAGCAATATCCTCCATTTTTCTTCAGATACTGCAGGACCTAGGATAGAATTAACCACCTTGTGTTTGTCCGCTACCTACCAATTACGTTAAATTAAGCCTGGTCAAGGATATCCTTGTGCACAATCCAGGCTAACCACGATAGAAGAGAGCAATGGCTAAATGACCAACAATAAAATTAACAGTCTGATTCCATTATCATGTATTAAGAGATTGTTTGGTGCAGATTGAATTACAATTTGGTTGTTTTTTAATATTTTATATTTTATATTAATTTGTTTATATTTTTTTACTGTTTTGATATACTGATATTCAAAATAAATTTTAAATGATAAAAAATATTATTTTAAATTATTTTTAAATAAAAAATATTTTAAAAAATAATCTTTATTATTATTGTATCAAATAACATATAAATAAAATCTATACCCCTAATAAAATCTAACTTTTGTTCCTAAGAAGACAGTATGACAGTACGATGCAGTGGGGATTTATGATTTTGCTAGAATCAACAACATTACGAAGAACATCAAGGTCAACGTATTTTAAAAAACACCGAAAAAACAAAAACTACCGAATAGATTACGAGTACTTTAGCAGGAGGGTAGGCTCTCGGGTGAAAAATAAGAAAGGAATATATATACCAGCGACGGGTCTCACCAATTAAATTTTTATTTCATCGTAGACATATTGCTTGTCAGATTAGGCAAAATTATTTTTAGAATAGATGAGAACAACAACATAAAGCAAGCGTCTCAAAGTGGTATTGAGAACACTCTAGATGCCCTGCAGCAAGAATCATGGCTGCTCACGCAACTATTCATTGCTTCCTCGCCTACTAGTCAAAGAAGATTTGCATATTGGATTTCTGATTGAGCTCGCATGCTTCTGTATGGCAGTTCATCTTCCCGGAAGCTTCAGTATTGGGAACGAATCTAATGATTCTACTCATCCCTAACACCTAAAATAGAAAATAGCAATGAAAACTGCATTGTTCCCCGGGATTCACGAGGCGGGTAAACACCGAACATCAACTAGAAAGTCCAATTTGCACAGCTTCTTGACAGCACATAGTTTTCCAGTTATTTCCATGAACCTTCAACTTCCCAAAACAGACACGCAGTACCCACCATAAGAAATATGCCTCACCACCTATCCGGTGCTGCAAGTGATCATACGCTCCTGCTTCACTTAGGCTATGTTTGTTTACGACGCACCTCGTGAACAAACGCATTCTTAGACGATGAACCCCATGCAAAATCATTCGACTTGATCTGTACCTTCCATCCCAAGCCTAAGAAAAATCACTCGGAAACTAGGTGCAAAGTGCTTAGATGCCATCTATAAGTAAACGTAACAAATTTAATCTCCGATGCAGGAATGAGAAAACTATAAGTTCTCGTACACAAACACCATTTTCTTCTCTTCCATTGATTAGAGGATGAGGTGCAATGGGAGCAATTATCCTTGCAAGTAAGCAGACAGTGCAACTTGCATCATATATATATATATAAGCATTAAAACCCACTAATTCACGTCGAATAAGTATTTGTGAACGAGATACTTTGATTTTTTTTTGGTTTAAAATAAATATTTTTTTATATTTTTAGATCATTGTAAAATATTGATATCAAAGATAATTTTAAAAAAACTTATTTTAATATAATTCTAAATAAAAATAATAATTTAAAACACCCCTATTATTACAATCCCAAACAACCCTAACTAATTGAATTACTTTTACTAATAAGCAGCCAACAACAATGATAAACCGGTAATAATTCATCATCCAGGCAATCGAGTCACAACTCCTTCCATGCGTGTGGCAATCAAAGTGCAGGAGGGGAGACTTTGCGATTTTATTTAATATAAATTTAGGACAATAAGCATGAAAATTTTGCGTAATATCACCATTTCAAAAAAATTTGATGAAATAATACAATTTTATTATATTATACTTAAAAAACATGATATGATCAAATTCTAATCTTCTACTTCAATTGATTAACTAATTGGATCTAGTTATATTAATCAATTAATTATTTCACATAAAAATTATAATTTTATAATTTTTTTAAAATATATTTTATAAGTCAAAATATAAATATTTGTCGAATTTATAGAATAAAAAATAAAATCTAATTAAAATCTTAAAAAAATATTGTTAACAAAATAATAAGTAATATATATATATATATATATTATAGTTTGAGGTAGATTTTTTTTTAATTATGATATACTCATGCATAAAAAGAGAGAATATTGAAACAAGTTTAGGAAAAGGTCTGGAATTGATTGAGAACAAACTAACAAAATAATATATTATAACCACGACATAATTATATAGACTATTACATTTTTAGATATTAAAAATTTTACTAGACATCTTGATTTTGATAATTTTAATATTTTTTTATTTTTTTTTCACAACCGCATCTTGATTTTGATAATTTTAATATTTTATTTTTATTTTTTCACAACCGAACAACCAGTTAAACCATAAATAATATAGTTTTATTAAATCATATTTTTAAAATATAATATTATTAAACTGTGTTATTTAAACGAAAAAATTACTTTCATATTAATGAATTAATATGATAGTTGTTTTTTTAAATAATATTTTTTAAAAAATAAAAAATTCAACACGAAACACGGTTTTAACATAAATACACACAACTCCGCGATCACATTGAAATTAAATTGCACAGAGATATAGCAGTGAAGAAAACGCCACGGATTGGAAACTGACTCGTCAAAAACGCAGATAGAAATTCAAACAGGACACGTAACATCACAACTCCGACCAAACCACACCCCCATCAAAACACATCCACGCAATCCCAGCATCAACCTGCGACCTAAACTACATAATATAAAGACCCAGATTGACAAAAACAAGAGCCCAGCAAGAAACACAATCTCCCAGCAAAGCACCGAACAAGCTCACATTCATCAATGCTGAAAAAAATCAGCAGATGTCATAATAGGCTGTACTGAACACGGGAGATGCCCACGGCTTGAACAAAGGATCAGGTATTTCAGGTATCTCCACGGGGAGTCCGCTAACATCCTCCACAATCTGCAGCACAGAGTTCAACGACCGCAGCCTCTCAGTCAATTCCATAGCTTGAGCCCTCAGAACATTGTTGGCTGATTCCATCTCCAAGTAGCGTTGTTGGGCAACATTGATACCCTGCATCAATTGATTGTTCTCGTTCTGCAATTTGCTCACTTCATTAACCAAATCCTCCATTTGTTTCTGCTTCCTCATCCTAGACCGCCTCGCAGAATCCCTGTTGGATATCATCCTCTTCCTTTTCCTCTCATCGACGTTCGCATATCGTGGATCGTTGTCCGATCCTGAGCTCGCTGCTTGCCTTGCAGACATTTTTTTTTTACAATTTCTAGATTCTTCGATAAAATTATCACTAGTTTAATCAAATAAATTCAATACCTTCGGTTGTAATTAGATTAGATGAAGAATCAGGGATCAAGATCTAAAAAGCAAACAGGATTAGCAGAGATATTTGATTTAATTTAACTCATGAGAACACATAGAACCAGTAGAGAAACACAACCGAGAAAGAGTGGAGAATTCGAATTCGTCGCATGAGGATAGAGTAAGTCATAAAAATTCTAAAAACATTGGTACTTCTTAAAGAACCCTAATATTCGATACCTAGATTATCAAGAAAGAAAACAGAAGAAGAAGAAGAAGAAGTAACCCAAAACTCGGATCCGAAACTCTAGATCTGAAGACAGATAATAGAGAGAGAGACTGAAAAGGGAAGACTTGGCTTGCGACACGCTAAAGAAACGAAGAGAAGGAGAGTATTGGGAGGACAGAAACGTTAGAATTGGTGCATGCACCAACATACAGGCGAAGAGAAAGGAAGGCTAACACCGTTGTTGGCTGCGGATTTTATAGAAAAGGTAGGGTTCGATGTAGCCGGGGCGGAGAAATACTTTTAATTCTTTTTTTTTAAAAAAAAAAAAAAAAAACAGTGGGGCTATTAAATTATCTAGAGAGTTATGAGGGGCACCGGTATAATTGCTGGCGTGCAGGATGACGCCAGCTGTGCTTGGAAGCCAATCTAACCATTGTTTTTTCCTTTTTGTATTTTTTTTTTCATGGAGGAAACTACAAGCCAACCTAACCATTATTTTTTCCTTTTTGTTTTTTTTTCATGAAAGAAACTATTACGATTATTTTATTTTTTTTTATTTATGTGGAGTATTCGGGCTAGCTTGCGCGCACTACGATTAATCCTTACAACCCACTGAATACCCTATAAACTCAATAGATAAATAAAACAATGCAAGACTGACAAGCATGCAACGTCAGGACTCGAACCCATAACAGCAGAAGGAGCGACACTCCTGCCACCAGGCCAAGTCCTTGGGTGCTACAATTATTCTTCTCTTGCCGCGTCGAGGTGTAAGCCGAAGCTTCCTGTACTCTTGAGATTTGTCGGTCTTTTTCAATGAAGAGTTCCTGAACGGCTGGCGAAAGGAGTTATAAACCCAATGTCATCACGGCTAAATCAACGGACGAGGATTATTTAAGTAGTTAATGGATTGCTATTGATATTTTTTTCCACACAAAACTTGAATCAATAATGAGGATATGTATTAGAGATTTTTAAGATTTAAAATGGAAACTATAAGAATTTATCTGTATTTTACTGGACTGAGCCCAGAGATAACACTCAAAAAGGAAATGGTTAAGAGCTTGGATTCGGTGCAAATATTATCCTATGTTAGACCATTCGTTGCAGATATTTTATCCTATGTTAGATCAGATGCAGGTTAGTTTTTCTTTTTTTTTAAATACTAAAAATATTTTCGTATTACTTTAGGTTTCAATTAAGATCTGATATCTCTAACCACCGTGCTAAATTTTTAGAATGATGAATGTAATTATATTTATTACATACCAATGAATTCAATTACGTGATCGTATAATGAAGATTTAGAAAAAAGGCCCGGGCAGTCGTAGAAGAAACGAAAAAAGGCAACCTTACATACAGAAAGTGGCATGTCATGAGAGATCTTTGTGTTTGTGTATCTGGTGGTGTGCAAAAAGGATCAAGATTTGATAGAAAAACGTTCTGAGGAGAAAAATGTTTGATTCATACCAAAAAAAAAAAAAAGATTTAAAAGGAGTTAAGATGTATGAGTGTTGGGAGTATTGTTATGATTATTTTTTAAAGTGTTTTTTATTTTAAAAAATTATTTTAATAATATTTTTTTTATTTTTTATAAATTATTTTTTAGATTAATATATTAAAATGATTTAAAAATATAAAAAATATATTGATTTAAAAAAATTAAAATTTTTAAAATATATTTTAAAACGTAGTGCCAGACAAATTGAATCTATGAATATTTGGTGAGCTAGAGAATGAGGCTGGAGCCCGTTTTCCATTAGGTATGTGCCTGGCACTTGGGTCTAAGTTTATTTAGTGTGTTTGAGAATGTAATTGTTAATTTTTTAAAGTATTTTCTATTAAAAAATATATTAATAATATTTTTTTTATTTTTTAAAAATTATTTTTTAAATCAGTCTATTAAAATAATTTAAAAATATTAAAAATATATTAATTTAAAATAAAAAAAATTAAAGTTTTTTAGAAGTTCTTTTTAAACGCACCAAACGCTATCAGGCTTAAGCATTAGACTTGGACACCATGCCCTCAAGGATACTGGGCATGGGATTAAAAGTTGGCCCATGATCATGGTTTGAATCCGAAACTTGTTTTCAATGTAAATGTAAGACTTGGACATGTACTAAAACTGGTTTGGTACGACTAAAAAATATTTTTAAAAAAGTATTAATCATAATTGGTCTTTTTTATTTTAGTAGTGGGACAGGTATAAATGTTTTTTTATTTTTTTTATTCGGGTGTATTTATTTTTGTAAGCTTCCGATCAATGATCTTTTCCATCTTTTATTGATTGTTATGTTTTGGCTAATTACTTGGTTTCCTTGTAATAACTTTATATTAAAGATTTTTTTTTCTTGGAAAAGAATCGTCCTCTGAAGTAATATTATATTTAATATTTGAAAATGTTTTGAGAGTAAAATAAATTATTTAAAAAGACTTATCTGAGAGGTATGTTTTCATTGATATGTTATGATTTTAAATTTATTGTCGTATGATCAAATGGTATTTCAATTTGGCTTTCAAGAATTTAAATCAGCTTCTTAATCATCGTTATTATTATTAATTTAATACATATTAAAAGTTTTTGATATTTTACTGTAATAATAAACAATAAAATACAAGGTCCTTTTGCTTTGATCTTCAAAATATCTGAGATTATTATTTTTTTAATTTTTAATTTAATTTTTAATTTTTTAATTTTATCTTGCATTGGATTAATTAGAATTTAGGTTTTATAATTTACTTTTTATATTGTTATTTTGATTTCATATTCATGATAATGAGTTTCTTGAGTTGGTTAGTTTAACTCGAGTTTTTTTCAAAAAAAAATTATCATTTAATATCAAGATTAGAAATTAAATTTTATAATTTTTTTATCTGTTTAATATAGAGTTATTTCTATTTTTTAATTTAGACTTGATAGATTGATCCAGGTTGACTTGACTCGGTTTTTATGTTATTTTTATTTTTTTTCAACATAATCCCTCCATCCTAGGTTAATTAGAAGTTGAATTTATATATATTCTTCTTTTTATGAGATTATTATAGGCCTATAACCCGAATTGCGGGTTAGATTAATTGACTTGATTTTTTTATTTTTTAGTTGATTTTTTTAAAAAAAATCCCTCATTCAATGCTATGTTTGTTGGAAATTAAGTTTCATAATTTTTCTATATTTGTGTTTTGTGAAGTTATCTCAATCTCATTTATAGGGTAATAAGTTTGATTGGTTTACTCGGATTAACTAGAGTGGTTTATATTTTTTTCTTGGTTATTTTTTTTTTCATCATTTAGTATTGAGTTAATTATTAATTAAGTTTCATAATTTATTTTTGATGGGGCCATAATATTGGTTTTATGACCGAAGTTTGATTGGCTAGCTCGATTTATTTTTTAATTGAATTTTATTTTTAATTTCATCACTGAACATTGAGTTGGTTGAGAATTAAGTTTAATAAAAAAAATATTTTCAATTGGATCATGAAGTTTTCATGATATAAGTGGCATATTTGATAATTTAACTTGAATTTATATAAGTTGATCTAATATGTTGTTTGAAGATTTAAAAAAAAATATTGTTTGAATTATTTTAATTAAAATATATTTTTATTAATTATTAAAATTATCTTTGAACCTATTATATCGACAAGGTTATATAAAGTCAACCCCCCACCCCCTCCCCAAGCACACGCTTGCCAAATAATAAATTTACAAATCCTGGATGTTAATATTGTAGTGATAAAAAACATAAATTTGTTTATGAAAATAATAAATAAATTATTAATCACTATAACTAAATATAAATATAATTGTAAAATAAATGGATTTTTCTTAAGTTTGACTTAAATGAAAAAAATCTTTTTTTAAAACCATGTAAATATATTCATTTCAATTTAGAATAATTTTCATTAATAGAATACAATAACAATTTAGAGGTAATTTTCTATTGTACAAGCAGTGTTTTCATTATAAATTTAATATGCTTTCGATATTTATTTATTTTTTGTCTCTCTCTTCTTCTTCTCCTTCCTCTTTTTTTTTAAAAAAAAATTTTTGCAATATCATTTAACAATTAAAGAGAGTCACTAGCAAGATATATGACAAGTCACATACACTGTATACAACTTTCTAAATGGGTCATTGTGCACGCTTGAAGTTGTATTCTCCTTTCCTACACAAGCAAGGCATCTAAAAACACATTTATTGCGATATTAAATTTATGTGATAAAAGAACATAGCTTTAGATATCTCTCTCTCCCCCTCTCTCTAATGAACTAATTTCAACAACGTTATTACCTGCATATGAAAAGAGTGGATGGTATGTTGTTGGATAATAAAAAAGAGAGAATGAAAAACATGCTAATAAACTTTTATTTTATAATTACAAATATACGTGTGATAATAGACAAGTGTAGAAACAATATCTTCTCGTTATCCAAACCAAAAATACTTATTTTAAAGTTGTAAAATGTAATTTAGGATCATATAGTCTACGATTTTGATCAGGTTTACGGGTCAATGCATTTTATTTTTTAATAAAATATTTTTATTTCAGTTAAAAACACAATTACAAACAAAATTTAGTTTAGATGGGATTTTAAATAAGCTGGTAACTTGATTTTATACAATTCAAACATACATGTGGTGCTAACCATTCGACCAAGGACTGCCCAGATATTTGACCACACGGCCCTTAAGTATGGCTACCTTAAACATTGCCTTTGCTTGATTATTTTTTTCACTCGATTATTAAATGAGAAGTATTACCTATCATTAATACACTCGTGTTCAAGGCATTTGACGCCCTCGTAAGTAATTCAAATGTAATTTTCTTACACTAGAGCCCTTGGAAATGAAGCTTTTACAGTGACCCACCAGTATTTTAAGCTCATATCCCTTGGTGGTCCAGAATCGTAAAAATTCATATACAAAGCCTCGAGCTCAAAGGTAAGTGAACTTTCATTTTGAAATTTCTGTATATATCTTGTTCATCTTCTTTTTCATATGAAACGCACGCATTAAAGAGAAAGGGAGAGAGAGAAATAGGGGTTGATGACCCTGAAAGATTGTTGCAGGATGATTTTAAAATTACAATTCGAATGTTTTTCACAAAATTTATTTGTTTTTATGTTTTAAAAGTAATTTTTAGATTTTTTTTATTTTTACTTTAATTTTTTTTTTTAGTGTTTTAAGATTGTTTTAATGTATTGATGTCAAAAATAATTTTTATAAAATACAAAAATATTATTTAGATATATTTTGTAATAAAAAATATTTTAAAAATAATTATCATTATAATCCCATACACCCTAGATTTGCTATAAAAATATTATGAAATACATATGAACCTGTAGAGAAAAGTATTTATACA